GTAGTTAGTAGTAGTACGTAGTAGTAGTACGTAGTACGTAGTAGTAGTAGTAGTAGTAGTAGTAGTAGTAGAGAGAGAGAGAGAGAGAGAGAGAGAGAGAGAGAGAGAGAGGTACCTAGACTCCCCTTTTATCTTTTCTATATCTTTTTCTTTCTCCACTTCAATGTCTCGAGGTATTTTATGTGTTGATACATCAAAAATATTTGTCCTAAGTTTGGATAAAGAGAAAATATACAATGAGATCATTTACCTTATGGTATAAGGTTATAATCACTCTTAGTCATCAAATGAGGCAGCCAGAGGTGAGGCAGCCAGAGGTGTACCATTTGTGTGAACTTTATGTAAAGAAATGATATATCTTGAATAATTTGGTTTCATATTTGATAGTTAAGTGTGATTGTGACCTTATCTCAAAGGTAAATGGCTTTTAGTATACAACACAATAAATTTTGTTAGGAGAGTTTCAATTACTAATATTTGTTATTATATAACTCTCATTAAGGTACTAATGAAGTTACTTTTTATCAAAAGAAATGGAGATTGAATTGGATTAAAAAGTGAGTTAACTTAATTCTGAATTTGTATGCTCTCTTCAATTTAATCGAGTTGAATTCCTTGTGTCCCTACCTTTAATTGTGGCTTAGTATATATACAGGATATATCCATCTTCACCGTTTATTCCAAAGGCTTCTAGAATGGACCAGCTGGTTCTAGACTAATAGTATACACCCTCTAGTTATAAATTAAACACTCTAAAAACATAAGGAGGATTAGAACTATTAATGGCAAGGCAAAAAGCACACAAAACTTTACCAAGATATTAAAGTAAAAACAAAGAAAAGAAATTTAAAAGAATGAAAAGAAAATGATTAAACAAGGGAAAATATCCATATGATCAATAGAAACTTATGGACATAAGTATTATCACCATTCATTCAACTGATGGAGGGTGATGAAGGCAGAGTTGGTCCCGGTAAATGGTTCATCTGATGTTCTTCTGGCTCCCAATCTCTCTCCATCACCATCCTTCATTTGATTGTTGGCGTGATGCATATGACCACAGCTTTTCTATAACCATATGGATCATAATATACTTTTCTGTAAATAAGAGTCATAGAAAATTTGAAATCTCAGACCTTCAAGTGATTTCGCGAGGCCTTCGAGCTTCGAAACAGTAGAATCATGGAGGTCTTGGCCAGACCAAATGGGGAAGACGAGGAGGCTCATCAGAAGACAGAGGCCACAACCTATGGCGATCGTATAGAAGCGTTGGTGCGCCATTTGTAATATGTTATGCACTCGAAAGCTCGAAACTGTAATTAAATTGAAGGTAAGCAAGAAAATTACGACGCCATAGTCATAGTTCTTCTTTATGTAAGGAACAAATCTGATATAGGTAGCCGCTGCGCCTGGACAAAATTGCAAGATAAATGGAAAATCAGAAAAACAAAAACCGTTTAAATTTGAAAGTAAAAAATGCTAATAGTGTGTCTATGGCCATGAAATTCATTTACTTTCTCTTGTTCTGTATTATGAAACAGATATCTATGCTTCATTTTCTTTTTCTTTTTTCTTTATTGTTTTTTTAGTAACATTTCTCTGCTCAAAAGTCAAAACTAAAACTAAGATTGGTAAAGTAGACTTGTTTTTGTGTATTTCATTTATAAGATTAGCAACCCATGAAAAAACTTCTTTTTCTAATAAATGACAAATATTCCTTGTTTTAGATAATGGAAAAGAAAAGCATCCACTTGTAGGAAAACATCAATATTTGTCTTTAATATTTTTTTTCATCGCTGGAGAAACTTCCAGCTGTCTAATAAAATATGAAACAGTATTTTTACTTATCCATGGAAGGAAGACAACTCATTTTTTAGTCAATGCAAAAGAAAGGCTTCAATGTTGTACAGAGATGTTTGTATACTGGATTTGGAGTTTTCTATGTAACCCTTACTCCACCTATTGAAGATTCCTTCAATCTTTATAGATATTTTCTCAGAAAAAATCTCTCAAATTTTCTGATGATGAATGAGGAAACTGCTGACCAGAAAGATAATTGTTTTGTACCTATAAGAAACACTGCAATGCCGATAAAAACAGCTCGGCCGACCGTTCCCGATTTCTCTGCAATGAATTCGATGAAGAACGCCAACGAACCCGCGATAAGCGTCCCTAATCCCCTGTTTAATCCTTTGCATAATGTTGCACCTAATCCAAAATATTCAAAAGATAAAACAAATATGAAATAAAGTACTCTGTTAAAAAAGAAAATCAGTAATCCAACTTAGGGTATGATTCAGGAAACGACTAAATGATCCAACCCAAATGAATAAAATGCAGAAACAAACTATCGAAAATGGATTAAAAAAAATCTGATGAAACAAACAAGTAAATGATCGGCCAAAGTAAACAAAAATCTTTTTTCTTTTGGGTAGTTCAATGGAGAAAAAAAATTTATTTAGGCAGTAAACAAATCATTTGATTTGAATGTAATATAATAAATTTGTTATGTACCAGCTGTGAACTCGAGCACTACAACCACAGTCATGACTGCCCAAATGGAATTCGCCCCTATGCCTTCAAACAAAGGCTCCATGAGATACAAGAAAGAAACTAAAGTTAGAGTTAAGCCAACTTTGAGAGAGTGCACCACCCTTCTTGGGTCTTCTTTCCCAACCTTCCATACGTTCTTTGCTAATATTTTCGGCATTTTTCGGATCCTCGAAACCCATATCGGTGCCTTCGATTCCGTAGCTGGAAACTCGCCGGAAAATGTTTTTCCGGCCATCTCCAAAAGCTAGACAACCAAGAATACTGTAGAAGAGAGGGGAGGCCTTTAAATAGAGCCCATATACTCAGTGCTTTATAGAGGACAAATTTAATGGTTTTATTTATTGTAAGTAAAAAAATGGCAAAAATAATAAGTATTTACAGGGTTTGTACTGTTTTGCCTTTCCCTTTCACCTGAAACTGGGCTTTATGCACATGCCCAGGCTTGTGTCTTATAGGGAGATGTATTATATTAAGGTAGTAGTTGTAATTTAGGGGATGTTAATTATGTACCCATAAGGATGTGCCAGCATTGCATGTGTTTGGTATGTATGCACGTGACATGAATCCATATTACATCATGCCATGTATGTATGAACACCCACTTTCTTATTTAGGAGGAAAGACCCTATGTTGGTGCAGGCCCAGTTAGAGAGAGAGAGAGACATATTTTGTAGAGAAATCTTTCTTGGAGAGAGAAAGACCTTAGTAGAAACAGAAATTTTTATAGAGAGAGAAAGACATTCTTAGTAGAGAGAGAGAGTAGAGTGTGTGTGAGTGGCATGCTTCTTGGCGTGTGGACAAATAAGTACTTTCAATTATTGTCTCTTCCTACCACCTTCTTTAAATTTAGAACTTAAGAAATTTATCAAAGGACAAAATTTATGTAAGATGTCAACTTTTTGCTATTAATTTACATTTTTTTGATGTTGAAAAACTTTTAATTTGATCCCAGTGTATCCTGTAGCAAATTATGTGGACTGCACATTTGTAAGATTTTCAAGTCTTTATAGATCTGCTTGATTTTTGCTATTTTTAAAATTTTAAGTTTCATAAATAAGTATAAAAATCGGTTTCAAGCCAACATAAGTTTTTTGACATTGGAACTACATCTCTAGGCAAAAGTTAGATGTACACCTTATTTCTACAGTATAAAGAGCGCGCTTTGTAGAGAATTGAGTGTCAAAATATCGTGAGAGATAAACCATTTAATATTTTACCTATTTGCAATTACTTTAACTTAAGATCATGTATTTTTAATAGACATTTTGAAATTAAATAAAAAATATTGTTGAAATGATAAATTGTTCACCTCTTATGTGGATTTTAGTACTTTAAGCATTTGTCATAATACTTTAAGCATTTGTCATGGAAGGTTCATGATTGAGCAGTAGGAAACGACCATCATTGAAAGTACCTCTATTTATCTTTTCCATTGAAAGAACCTTTATTTTCATATCTTAAATAGTCCATATACAAGTAGAGCCCAATTACAGGAAATTGTCTGTTAAGCCATTTTCCCTCTCTCTCTCTCTC